ATCTTATTTTTGTAGGAAGGGAGGATGTCAGGGGATGGTATGGATTCTTTACTGGACAAAGTTCAGGGGGTGTTTCATCATGACCACAGCCGTAACTCCTCTGATGAAATTGATGGTGATAAGCACTCAAAGCACCCTGATAAGTTCCGCCTCTTTGGCCGCCAGAAACCTGTGCACAGCGCCCTTGGGGGTGGCAAACGTATGAATCCCACAAGTCCTTCACCATATATAGCCAATCCTGTTTCTTGCTTTCTTACCTATAATTAAGACCATATTGAATTTTGTAAGTTCATTAGAATAATTTGATTAGTTTTTTTGCACTATCACATTACATCTGTTTAAACTGGATTTGGTTTAATTAATTTGTCTGTTGATCAGAATTTTATTGACATCAAAGGTGATTAGGTTCCAGAAACCCTTGGTGCGGAACTTTCTTATACTAACATGTTTCAAAGCAATCTTCCAATTGAAGCACATTTGTCGATTTCTGACAGTTAGTATCTTGTTTCAACAGTCCTGTGTCCCTAACGTGTAATTAAAATTCGTGAAGCTAGGTAAACTAGATGATATCCTATATTTTTTGACCCAAAGGTGCCTATATTTTTCGAGCAAGGTTCAAGTATGCTTTTGTAGGGGGCAGATGACCTGATCATATTCGCATTCTTTCTTCAGCTGCTGACATAATGCTTTGGAGGAACAAGCAGATATCAGCATGCATGCTTGCTGCTGCAACAGTTATATGGCTTTTATTTGAGTGGATTGGTTATCGTCTGCTCCCATTTCTTTGCCACTCTCTAATACTTGTGCTGGCGTTGCTGTTCCTGTGGTCCAATCTTTCCTTCTTTGTCAACAGGTGCGTTTCTTGCCTTCCAACTCAAAAAACAGCAGCTGCTTTACTCGTTGCTTGTTACTTGCTCATTTTCCTGACTTACTTACTTGTGCTCTTTCTTTCTTACATGTGAGTTACCTTTATACCTTTCCTGTTAGGTCTCCTTTGGAATTGCCAGAGATTGTGTTGCCGGAGAGCCTTTGTATGAGTTTTGCTCTCTTGTTGAGGGACAGATTTAACCAGGCGTTTGGGATTTTCCGTCAAGTGGCATCAGAAAGGGACGTGAAGAAATTTCTTGGTGTACGTACCACTCTCCCTCACATTTGTTGCAGATGGTTCGAATGGTTTCTATTTATTTTAACAGCTCCAACCAATTTTCTGCTATTACACAGGCAATCGTGGCACTCTGGCTTGTTTCAATAGTTGGCAGTTGGTTCGACCTCTTGACACTCGTATACTTGAGTGAGTTTCTTCTGTAACTTTTGCCTTTGACTCGAGTCTTGGTTCGATGCTTGCCATTTGTCTGGCATCCGCTTGAAAAGTTGAAGCAGTTGAAAATAATTTGCTTGCTAGATCTCAATAGTGCATCCTATTTTAAGAGTTATTCCTGTCTTGACAAGTAGTTAAACGTTCTTCCTCCGAATTTGACAGTGTTTGTGGCACTATTGACGGTACCTTTGTTGTACGAGAGACATGAAGACCGAGTGGATGCTTATGCAGAAAAGGCAACCGTAAAGCTCAAGAAGCAAATCAGTGCTTTGGATGAAAAGGTGCTTCATAAACTTCCAAATATTACTCTCAAACAACGTTGAAGTTAATGTGGCAGCTATACTTTTGGTACAGGGCAGCTATGTTTTGCTTCTTGTAGGATCTCCTTTCTCTACGTTGTTTACCATTAAGCTCATTGAATATTCATTTAAGCAAATCAAGAATAGTTTGTCTAGCTCAGAATCAAGCTTAATTATTCCTTCAAATGCCCTTTAATTTCAAATTTCTATCTCTAAACAGTATGATCTTTCTCGATTTATTAGACAGAGATCATCTTGTCTAATGATTGGTTATTGATGCGTATACACATTGTTGCTACTCTGAAATGCCCCCGGTTCCCGGGGTTAGGGCATTCCCTATTATGAGCCTACCTGCACTTCAGCTTTGGTTTCTTGGAAATGTTTCCCAAGGACGAATTAGGTTTTCTTTTGCTCTCCTCACCCTTTATCCCTAACGTTAAAAGCCAAAGCATGAACGCAAAATGATCCAATTATGAGGCTATTAAATGAGTCCAAGAACAGAAGCTACATGTTTCGTTTTGTGAGTTCTTAGATGAAATTCCAGCCGGAATGAAACTGCAGTAATTCTTCAGTAGTTCAAACCCACTGCGGAAATGCATTTAGGCCTTTGCCTATATGTTGTTTTCCACCAACAGGTATTTGAACCATCCTGCAAATGATGCAGCAGCATTTTCACTTACTTAACTTGAATTTTTCCTTGATAACTTTTTGCAATGCATTCAAGGCTTTACAGTTTCCACTTGCCTTTCCAATTGTCCAACTCCAAACAATATAGCTCTCCCAAGTATTTGGTTATTTTAGCTCCATGACTGACGTTCATTTTACAGTAGTGAGAAAAACATATACAGAATCTTCAATGGAGATGAACACTTTCTGACTATAAAAAACCAAAACATTTCAACAAGAGGAAGCCATGTTGATCATTTCAGCATTCAGTTGGGTGCCAAAGACTATTCAAATTTATGCTCATCTTCAGGCAAGCTCCTTTTGTACACCTAACCAAAACTTTTTGTTTGCTTACTTCCTCGTGCTCAATCCATCTCACATGACAGAGGTACTTAAGGTTACTCACTAGCTTGAATCAGTAATATAAAGATATTAGTCACTTTCGCCTGAAATTGAGCCTGCAACTATAACCGTTCTTCGACATTTACCTCTTAAATTGTGCAGAAACTAAAGGAATAACAAATTGCTCATACTACTTACTCTTAAGAGTATGCAGAGATTTTGTCAACTTCTCGCTACTCTTGCACTCTGCAATTTCAAAATGCTGAAGACAAAACGGAGGGTTTTATACCTTAGCTGGTTTTGATCCAGGGGGCAAGAAGGGCTCCCACCACCCATATTCATACTTAGGATATGGTGCCGACCATTTATCTGGCTTCTCAAACTCTATGTTAGCAGGATTAGATGCCAAAGCCTCCTCAAGACTGTCAGCTTCATAACTTTCTTGTAAAACTCGGTCCAGTCTTAATTTCATAAACCTGCACAGAACAGTAAATTGCGAAGTTTACAAGCATATAAGCTTCTGCTTATCTTTCATAGAATGATTCATAGAATGATCTGAAGTGGTTAAGAGGTATTCTGCACAATAAAACTCTGTTTATCGTAAAGTTCTCTTCTTTTTCTAACAGTAAGGCATGGACATAAAGTATTTTAGGCCAGGAATGCAGTACAGTACTATTAAAAGGGTGGGTCATAGATTAAGCTTACGTGATCCAGGGGCCGTTTGTGGAAACCAGAGCCACAGCCGGTCTCCTGAGTCTCTTGGTAATAGCAGGAAACTTGTCCAAGAACTTTGGTTCAATCACAAGCCAAAAATCCTGCTCTTTCTCACGCTCCCCATACAGTCGTAGCCTCTCAAACAATAGCTCCTTGAAATGCTCCTCCTCATCCAGCATGAATTTCGCATTTGCCACAACAAAATGATACTTCTTCAACTCAGATTCTTGCTGTTCAAAAATACCAACGTTCAATTCTGTCAGAGATTGGACCCCAGAAAATAGAAAACTTGACCGGGTGCTACTTAGTTAACAAGTAATTGCCCCACAAATTATCTCATCAATTCTGGGCATAGAGCAGAAAGAAGAAGTGAAAAATAATTGGCTAACCTTTTCGGAGGGATCAGAAGATTGGACAGCGGCAACGGCGGTCCTCACGGGTGTAGTTGTCCGCCAGCTGCAGTTGGTGTGGCCCAATTTGAGCAGGTGATTTGGTGATGCTAAGAGCGGAAGCGACTGCGACGTCGCACCATGAAGCAACAAAGGTTTCTCGCCATTGTGGGTCGGAACATTCGTAATCGAACTACCTAAATATCCCAGATTCAAAGCCGTTGAAACCGACATTGTTTCAACTCAGCGGTACGGGTCAGTAAACCGGGGGAGGAAACGGCAAAAGATGACGCTGATACCGCGAAGCGAGAAACTCAGGAAAGTGCAAGAAATGTACAACAGACCTTATCTTCTTCTACCATAATTTCCACGTTACCCCTTATCCCCTTCTTTTTCCGAAGTAGACCCTGTTTACTTTTGCAAATTATGAAATTGACAGCACAACTTTCCTTTCTTTAACGCTTTTACTGCCGTAGAAATTAACATGACCACTGCAATTTTTTTTTCCCATTTTCTGTTGGTAAATGGCAATGAGGAGGAAGTCATTTTGCAAATTGGCTGTGATTTTATTTTGTTTGATTTCGTCCTCATTTTGCAAAGTATAATTTTGGTTATTGAGTAAATGTAGACGGCTGAAAGATACTCCTATGATGTAATTACACCAAAGACAGCTAACTAAAGATAATCCTTAAAACACATGTAATGAAGACTACTACCATTCGTATTTAGTCCTTGGTCAAGAAAAAACTCTCCTAATCCTTCCTTTCCCCTTCCTTGGTCTGCCTCCTCATCCCTTTTCGTTTCTACGGTGCCAGTTCCAACTTCCAAGCCCAAGGACCGGAATTTTCAATTTCTGTCTAGCAGAAGAAAAGGATTCCGTAATACCATGAACTAGGTTTATTAATCATCCATCTCATTGAAGCCTGACCTCCAATGTAAGATTAGTGTCATTCTAGTATGTTTAACTAGCAGGATAAATGTGCAACAATAGCATCCCCAATGCCGCATTTCACATATTGACATCCAAAAGTATTAGGCCTCTGCTGACTCCAATAGTTTCGAGACGCATATGAAAGCCTGTCATAGAGCGATTTTCAGGTGCTTTTGCTTATAATTCAAAAGCATTCAAGTGCATCCTTTCATCTGGTTGTCAACTTACCAACTGCAGCTACTATATATGCGCTACATGCTCCTCTCTTTTTTATGGTAACACCACAAAATTGTCCAGGAACCGCGGCACAATACAATCTGTAAAATAATGATCCGTACACGTCTGATGAAACTTCATTCTCATTAGATAATCACAAGAATGCCAGGAGTCAATCTAGACATAAACACATGATACGAAAGATTTAACTAAAAGTAGAAGCTATCAGTTGGCACAAGTTAGATAGGCCAGCAAGGCAAGAAGCAAAAATTTGATTACAACACTTGGATCTATCAAAAAGCCCTTGATGAGCGAAACCGAAAAGCATAATCAAGATGATGAATCACAATTTACACCAGCTCAATGAAAGCCATGGGTGCATTGTCCCCTCGTCTGGGTAGGGTTCTAATTATCCTTGTGTAACCTCCATTCCTGTCTCCATACCTCTCCTGGACCTCAGCAAACAATGCATGAACAATCTGCTTCTCATAAATAAATCCAAGGGCTTGCCTTCTCTTATGCAGAGAACCATCTTTAGCCAATGTAATCATCTTGTCAACATACTTTCTCATAGCACTGGCCCTTGCTCTTGTGGTCTTGATTCGCCCATGTTTTAGCAGCTGAGTAGTCAGGCTACGCAAGAGCGCACGTCGTTGGTCTGGGGGCCTATTGAGTTTAGGTACCTTCCTTCCATGTCTCATAGCAAAGAATCGGCCCCCATTGTCAATGGTGGTAAAAGAATGCTCAAAGCCAAATGAATCTGAAACAAACAAGGCATAGGACCAGATATTAGAATGCCAACGTCAGAGCTAGCTAGTCCTTTTTCTGTTAATCACTTAGTCCCATTAGAATCGCAACTTCTGAATGCATCAGTAAATCAAAATATTCATCGGTTATCCTTTAAAACTTACAAGTCCTAATATAACATGAAACCTATCCACTTAAGCAAAGCACTAATTTTCACAAAATCATCAGCCTCATACATCACACCCATTAATTTTCCTTCGCAATGTCTCACTCCATGTCCATGAAGCTAAGAGGAACCATCCCCAGACTCTTACACCTCTACCTGATAATCTAGTGGTAGCATCCCAGCATTCCTCAAAAGACTCCTAAACTGAACGCGGAAATGCCAAAAGAAAGTGGGGAATTGAATTTGGCCATGGTTCTCATTATGTTATGGCCCCAGAGATCCTTGAATTAATTGCCAATTGTGCAGAAACAAAAGCACCAGATATTAACCCAACATATAAAACTATATACATGATCAATAGTAATTGCCAAATAACCCCAATCAAATAATGATTTTATCAAAGAACGTGTCCTTTTTTATTCCGGTATTGCAATAAATTAACTTCCAATTAAAAAACAAAAGTTCGTCTTTGTTCCTTCTTTTATTTCGCTGGGGGAAGAGCACGAGTTTAGTGATAAAGTTTACAAAAGAATATGGCAATACACGGTAAAATTTAGAACAAAGAAGCTAACCAATTAGTGAAAGAAATAAGCCAAATGGGGTGCCATAAATGAATGGAACAGCCCTGGTGAAGGGTAAGAAAGAAAGTGAACCGTACCTAGAGAAGAAAGGGACAGAAGGGGGTTCAAAGGGGCAAGACCCACGAAAGACTGAAGAAGTCCCGGACCGGAATTGCGCAGAGTAGCGACCCTGAGGCGAGTTGGGGAAGACCCAATTGAAAAGTGAAGTGGAGGAGTTCTCTGAACTGGAACTGAAGGCAGGACTGATTTAAGGGATGATATGCTCCACGTTGCAAATGCTGTGGAGCTCCCACAACATGCCATGCTTTTGCCGCTGGTGGATGATAGATTCAGTGCTCTCTGCTCTGTGCTGGTGCCTGATTTTTTGACAACTACGGGGATGGTCTTGCAGGGCAGGGGTGGCAGGGGATGGGGATGTCCAGTGTTGTAGACGGATAATTCGACATTGGCCCCTTCTTTGTTGTTTATTCCTCACACCTCCTAATGATTTGTGTTTTCTTGATTTTGGCCTGTGTATTCTCAATTACTATTCTATCACCTTCAATTATGGTAAGATCTTACCTCATTATATGTTATCCTTTTCCACAACATTGAAATTAAATACCCCTACCAAAATGTGACAAAAATCTACTCTTAAGCATCCTAATATATGCCATTTTTTCACAAGAAGTCTTGTAATATTTAAGTAACATTTTCAATCACTCTTGTTTGTTGGAAAAGTAAAGGAGAAACTCATGTTTAGGGCAGCAAACACTCACGAGCTGAATATCGAACTCGAGTCGAGCTCGAACTGGCGAAATCAAACTCGAGCTCGAGTTCGAACTCAAAATATTAAGTTCGTTAATTCGCGAGCTCGAGTATATATATATATATATTTATTTATTTATTTTAATAGTAAAATTACATATATATCCCTAATATTTTATTATTTATTAAGAAAAAATAATTATTTGTTATTTTTATTAGATTAATTTCCAGAAATTCGAGCTAACAAGCTGCTTACGAGTCAGAAATTCGACCTACGTACGAGCTGACAATTCGAGCAGCTCACAAGTCAGAAATCGAGCTACAGTTCGCGAGCCTTGTCGAGTTGAGTTCGAGCCTGACTTTTTGTCAGGAAGCTGAAGGAAGACGTCGTCGTTTGGGCCCAAGGTTATGAAATGACAGAAAACGGTGTCGTTAGACTTAAGTAGTTAGTTAGAGTAGTTAGTTAGTAATCTGGACAGGTTATAAATAAGAGAGCTCGTGATTGGCTGGGGAGGGATTTTGTAACTACTTTCTGTTAAATGAAAACTCATTTTCTCTCTCTTCTCTCAATTCTCTCTGAATCTTTCCCTCTTTCTGAATTCCCTCCCAATCAGTCCAAAATCTCTTCAACCAGGTCCTGACAAATTGGTAATCAGAGCGATCGATCCTTGGAATTACGAATGGCGGAAGGAACTCGCCTGAAATCTTTGGAAGAATGCGTCAAGAAACAAGAAGCGCGGCTACAGGAAGCTATGGAGACATTCCATATTTCTCAACAGCAATTTCGAGTTGAAATTGGTGGCGAAATCAGAGTGGAAATGGAGAATTCCAACATCAAACTGGAGAAGCTGGAAGCATCAATGGCTGGACTAGAGCAGAAATTCAACTCCTTCCTGTAAATGATGATGAACAGAGAGAAAAATCCAGTGGAGGAAGGAAGAGAAAGGCCACTGCTGCCAACGCCACCACATCAGCAACGAATCAACAAAGAAGTCGAGAACAGTGAAGGTTTCATCCGAAGAGAAGAAGGTAGGATCTATATACCTAATCCTCCAAAATTAGAGCTACCTCTTTTTTATGGGGAAAATCCACAAGAATGGCTGAGAAAATGTAATAAATACTTTCTGAATTATCAAGTACCTGAAAATCAGAAGGTAGATATAGTTGAAATGTTTCTTGAAGGGAAAGCAGATAGGTGGTTTCAAGGACTAAAAATGGAAAACTCTGGCGTAAGCTGGAAGGAATTTGAGGAATTATTGTGCAAAAGATTCTGTAATAAAATTTGCAGAGATATAGTGGAAGAATTCAACAAGATTCAACAGGTGGGGAGTGTGGAAAATTACCAGGAAAAATTTGAGGAACTCAAACCTCTGATGCTGATGAAAAATCCTCAGTTAGATGAAGGATATTTTGTCTCGAGTTTTATTAGCGGACTTAAGGAAGAAATCAAGCCTATGATCCGAATGCTAAAACCTACAGAGTTGTCTACTGCCTATGAGATGGCTCAATTACAGGAATATTCCCTGCAATTACAGAGCAGACAGGGGAAGGAGATGCAGAGAAATGCTGTAGAAAATAAATTTGGAATGCAGAAAAGCCAACTCTCAAGCTCAACAACAGGGAATTTGTACAAAGTTCCCCCTGTCAGCCACCATAGACACTTTAATGCAAGGAAGGGGTCCCTAGAAAACAACTCCACCAGGAAGATTTCTGCCCAGGAAATACAATATAGGAGGAACAATGGATTGTGCTTCAAGTGTGGGGAAAAGTATGGGGCAGGACATCAGTGTAAGATGGGACACTTAAATTTTTTCCTGGGGGAAGAGGAGGAAGAGTCCGAATTTGAGGATGCAGTTGGGGAGCAGGATGAGCACACTGGAAATCCAGGATCTGTCATGGAAATGTCTTTACACGCACTGTCAGAATCTCTTAAAAGGAAAACTATTACAATAACAGGACAATTGGATGGCGAGGAAGTGCTGATCCTAGTCGACGCAGGTAGCTCTGATAGCTACATTGACAGTGAATTAGTTATTGCCTTAGACATACCTTACAGAATGGTATCACCCTTTTCTGTCATTGTGGGTAATGGAGCTTGTGTAACTAGCAAAGCTATATGTCCTAGGGTCAGGTGGGAGGTCAACCAGCATAAATTTGGTTTTGACTTGAAGGTGATGGAACTGAGTGGTTGGCACATTGTTCTGGGAGTGGACTGGATGACTCAGTTTAGTCCCATCACGTTTGACTTCCATAACCTCAGGATTTCTATGGAGTATGAAGGGGAAGTAGTGCAGCTGCAGGGGAGTTCTGAAGACTGTGAGTTAGATTTGATCAGAGGCAAGGATCTGAGGCACTTTATAGAATATAAGAAGAGGTGTTTTGCTATGAGAACTTTAGAGACAACATCAACTTCAACAGATACCACAGAGGAGCAGCAGCCTCAGGAGATTAAAGTCTTGCTGGAAGAGTATGCAGATGTGTTCCAGCAGCCTGTATCCTTGCCACCTGTCAGGACTTGTGATCATGAGATCCCATTGAAACCAGGAGCACAACCTTTCAAGCTAAAACCATACAGGTACCCCCATTCTCAGAAGGATGAAATCGAAAGGCAAGTCACAGAAATGTTAAACCATGGAATTGCAAGGCACAGCAACAGTCCATTCGCATCACCAGTCCTACTAGTCAAGAAGAAAGAGGGGACTTGACGATTCTGTGTTGACTACAGGAAACTCAATGAGATCACCATCAAAGACTGTTACCCCATTCCAAATGTGGATGAACTCTTGAATGAATTAGCTGAATTCAAGTTCAAGACTAAGCTGGACCTGACAGCAGGCTATCACCAGATAAGGGTCAAGCCTCAAGATGTGTACAAAACAGCATTTCAGACCCATTGTGGACACTACGAATTCTTAGTCATGCCTTTTGGACTGACTAACGCACCTGCAACTTTTCAGTCCTTGATGAATCAAGTGTTTCAACCATATTTGAGGAAGTTTGTTCTAGTTTTTTTTGATGATATACTGATATACAGTAAGACATGGGAATCACACCTGCAACACCTGGGGATAGTACTGAAGGTGCTCAGGGAAAACCAGTTGTTTGCAAAGAAGTCCAAGTGCTCATTTGCACAAACTCGAGTGGAATACTTGGGACATACCATTGCAGAAGAAGGAGTTAGTATGGACTCTTCCAAGGTTGACAGCATTCTAACATGGCCAACACCTAAGTCAGTGAAGGAGTTGAGAGGATTCTTGGGGCTCACGGGCTACTACAGAAGATTTATTAAGAACTATGGCATCTTGTGTAAACCAATGACAGATCTGCTTAAGAAGGATGCATTTACCTGGACTGACTCAGCTCAGCAAGCATTTGATCTACTCAAGAAGGTAATGACATCAGCTCCAGTCCTTAAGTTGCCTGACTTTAAGCAACCATTCGTGGTGGAGACTGATGCAAGTGGATGAGGCATTGGAGCTGTACTCATGCAGGAGGGACATCCCATAGCTTTCCTTAGCAAATCATTGAGTCCAAGGAACTTGGGGTTATCTGCATATGAAAAGGAGCTACTAGCACTGGTGATGGCAGTGACAAAGTGGAGGCATTACCTAGTAGGCTATCATTTTATAATACGGACTGACCATCAGTCTTTAAAGTATCTGCTGGATCAGAAATTAACAACAGCAATACAACATAAGTGGTTGACTAAACTACTTGGAATGGACTATGAAATTCAGTACAAGCGAGGCAGTGAGAACTTAGTGGCTGATGCTCTTTCCAGGAGAGCTGATGAGACAGGAGAGGGGGAACAAATGACAGGAGTTTGTTTGGCTATGTCTTCTGCTAGGCCAGCTTCGATTGCTATGAACTGGTCAGGATTGGTCAGAATTGGTCAGGAGCTATGAACAAGATTCGCAGTGCCAGGAGCTGATTGCTAGACTTATCCTGCAACCTGAGTACCCAGATCTGTATGAACTCAGTGATGGTATTCTCAGATATAAAGGGAAACTTTATGTTGGCTCAAGCAATGGAGTTAGAAGACAGATCATGGAAGCCTTGCACTCCTCTTCTGTGGGAGGTCATTCAGGGCAAAGAGGGAGTTGGCACAGAATCAGTAGCATATTCTATTGGCCTGAGATGAAACAGGAGGTTAGGGGGTTTGTGCAAGCCTGTGATAGTTGCCAAAGGAATAAAGCTGAACATGTTCAACATCCTGGTTTTTTGCAGCCATTACCTATACCTAGACAAGCGTGGACACATATCTCTATGGATTTCATAGAGAGACTTCCAATTTCACAGAACCTTGACACCATTCTGGTAGTGGTGGATCGATTCACCAAGTACAGTCATTTCCTACCACTTGCTCATCCTTTCTCTGCCAAGCAAGTTGCTCAGGTTTTCATGGATCAGGTGTATAAGCTTCATGGTCTGCCTGAAACTATAGTTATGGATAGGGACAAAGTCTTTACTAGCAATTTTTGGAAGGAACTATTTCGACTGATTGGGGTGAGTTTATGCTATAGCTCTGCGTATCATCCAGAAACAGATGGCCAGAGCGAAAGGGTGAATCAGTGTGTGGAAGCTTATCTGAGGTGTATGACTGGAGAATTTCCAAATCAGTGGAGCAAGTGGCTTCCCTTAGCAGAATGGTGGTACAATTCTGCATACCATTCAAGCTTAGAGACGACCCCTTTTGAAGCCCTCTATGGCTATAAGGCTTTACCCTTTCCAATGGGACCCTACCATGATTCTATCATTCCTGCAGCAACTCAAGTGATTCAGGAAAAGGTAAGAATCTCTGCCAGTATCAGGGAGCATCTACTGAAGGCTCAGCAGAGAATGAAATATTTCGCAGATCGACACAGGACAGAGAGGAGTTTTGAAGTAGGAGAATTAGTGTTTCTCAAGTTGCAGCCTTGCAGGCAGCAGACCATAGCTATTAGAAAGAATCTCAAGCTTGCAGCAAAGTTCTACGGGCCTTTTGAAGTGGAAAAGAAGATTGGTGAGGTCGCCTACAAACTTAAATTGTCTCCTACAGCTAGGATACATCCAGTGTTTCACGTATCCTTACTTAAGAAAAGGATTGGACCTCCACAGCAGACCTCCACTACTCTACCAGAATTTGATTTGCAGGATCAGTGTCCTTTAGTACCAGAAATGGTCTTGAAGATGAGAGCTATTCTCAGGAAAAGTATACCAGTGGTGCAGTACTTGATCAAGTGGCAGCAATTGGAGTATGATGAAGCATCATGGGAAGACAAGGACTTCATAGAACAACAATTTCCAGAATTTGAGACTTGCGGACAAGTCTAAACCAAAGAGGAAGGGATTGTCAGGAAGCTGAAGGAAGACGTCGTCGTTTGGGCCCAAGGTTATGAAATGACAGAAAACGGTGTCGTTAGACTTAAGTAGTTAGTTAGAGTAGTTAGTTAGTAATCTAGACAGGTTATAAATAAGAGAGCTCGTGATTGGCTGGGGAGGGATTTTGTAACTACTTTCTGTTAAATGAAAACTCATTTTCTCTCTCTTCTCTCAATTCTCTCTGAATCTTTCCCTCTTTCTGAATTCCCTCCCAATCAGTCCAAAATCTCTTCAACCAGGTCCTGACACTTTTCCTTGGTCGAGTTGAGCTCAAGCTCAATTTTCTTGGCTTTTCAAGCTTGAGCTCGAACTCGAGCCCACCTATTATTAAGTCGAGCTCGGTTCGATAAGTCCAAAACTCGACTCGTTTGCAGCCCTACTCATGTTTCATCCCATCTTATATTGTTTGGACTACGAGGGAGTCTCTACATTTCATAAGAGAAAGGAAAAGAGGAGGACTTTTGAGTTAAATCACCGATCTCATAATCATTTGAATTATACCCTTACCAATTAAGTTTGGTATTTAGATTTTTTTTCCATGTAATGCTCGAAAATGAGAAAGGGAAAATGACAAAGTAAAGCGAACCCATTAATGTTAGTGATCACCCGTGTTTTTACAACAAAATTGATCGTTAAAAAAAATAAAGAACGCCTTTTTTTGGTGTTTCAAAACACAGTCAACAAAACTCTTCGTTTGAATTGGCCTATTTTTTAAAAATAAGTTTTTTAAATACAATACTACAGTAATATACAAACAAAAATAATTCAAAAAACATCTTATCCATACAATATATCAAATATTTCAAAAAACATTTATAGTAAATTTTTTTTCATATATACTATTACAGTAAAATATTTTAAAAATGCCCCAAAAAACAGTTATTTTAAACGGTGCTATGCGATCCTAGTTAACTACAAAGGTGTAGTTAACAGCAGCAATTTTAGGATAAGTGTTGGATAGAATCGATTTCTCTGTGAAGATGGGCTGTTTAGGCCTCGTTACCAATTAAGTCCGGCCCATTACTCAAGGACTACCGCTTCAACAGTCTCCTCAAACCTAGGCCCAATTTAAGTTGAAAAATTAAAAGAAAAATAAAATGAATTGAGAGTAAAATACGTTTTGGTTCTTCTTCTCATTCTGCAGCAGGAGTCCTGTGTTGTGATGTTGTTGGTGAAGCAACTAGTACGAGTAGTGCCTTGTCTTTCCAGTGGTGTGGCAATAGCAAGAGGAGGGCTTCAAATCTCCACCGGTCCGTATACAGCAAAGCTCGGATCAACTACACATCGGTTAATCCGCAGACTGAGCAACTCCTATTCATCCAACACGGTAACTTTATACTAGTACTTGGTGCCCTTGATCAATTCATCTGCATCTACTACTTTCTTTTTCTTTTTCTCTTTTTCTTTTGTTGTTGGTTCTTCTGGTTTCTTAACCTTCCCTATGTTGTTAATTCGGGAGTGAATATATGCTTCATAGATGGACACCGAAACGTATGCATTTGGGCCATACAAGATAGACCCAAAGGAAGTTTTCTACTCCACACATCTTTCCTATGCCATGGTCAACCTCCGCCCTCTTCTTCCTGGTAATTGACACTGCTTATCATACATGCATTTCCCAGAACTCCATAACTAAAGTAGCAAAAAGAGGCACATTTGGTGGGACTCCCAACCGTTTCTGGTTAAAAAGGTTGTCTTGCTGGTATTAAATTGTGTAGGCTTCAAATCTCCACCGGTCCGTATACAGCAAAGCTCGGATCAACTACACATCGGTTAATCCGCAGACTGAGCAACTCCTATTCATCCAACACGGTAACTTTATACTAGTACTTGGTGCCCTTGATCAATTCATCTGCATCTACTACTTTCTTTTTCTTTTTCTCTTTTTCTTTTGTTGTTGGTTCTTCTGGTTTCTTAACCTTCCCTATGTTGTTAATTCGGGAGTGAATATATGCTTCATAGATGGACACCGAAACGTATGCATTTGGGCCATACAAGATAGACCCAAAGGAAGTTTTCTACTCCACACATCTTTCCTATGCCATGGTCAACCTCCGCCCTCTTCTTCCTGGTAATTGACACTGCTTATCATACATGCATTTCCCAGAACTCCATAACTAAAGTAGCAAAAAGAGGCACATTTGGTGGGACTCCCAACCGTTTCTGGTTAAAAAGGTTGTCTTGCTGGTATTAAATTGTGTAATTTTTTTTGGCTGTTTGGGGATTTTTTGGTATTTTTGTTTTTTTGGAGGGGGGGGGGGGTCGGGAATTTGAGTATTCTCTGCAATTCAGTGTTTTTTTTTTAGATGATTAGATAAGGGTTCTGTTATTTATGCATGATTTTGGATTTAGTCAATAAAGATGTAGGTGAACTAGCTCAAGGCGAGTTAATTTTATTTATTTGAATAAGCTCGTCTTTGTGTAATTTCTTCCCTTTGCTTTTGCAGGTCATATCCTTTTCTGTATGTGTGCATTGTCGTGCGGGGGAAACAAACTCACGACTAATATGCTAATTTCATGGATTCAATGAACGATTAAGTGGGTAAAACGAAGAGAAATTTCAAATTTGGTAGTGTTTATGATTATATTGTGGGAATCTGAGTACATGTTACTAATACTGCATCCAGTTTTAGTATTAAGAAATACAAGTCTTCAGCATGCCTATTGTCTTACTGGCTGCTTAAACTTAAAACGCTGCACATTTTTTCTGTGGTTAAACTTTAAGCGTATCAACTTCAAATGTAGTACATCTATATGTTCTACTTCTGCAGCTATGTTTTCTGTTTTCTATGGGAGCCTACCATAGTCCTGAATATGCCTGAAGTTGTTTTAATGTGGCTCTCACAGTGTTCCAACTAGAAAAGTAACTGATTTTCTTATGCAAGGTATCTGAACCTTGCACACTTTTATTAGCTTTGAATTTCTGTTGCGATAAGAGTACTAGGTGGTTACTGGTACCATGGAGATACAGTTATCTGTTTCAAGTTAGAACCTTCGTCTAGCTTTATAACAATGATTTGATTGACTTGACGTTATACACATGTGCTTGTGTGCCCAAGACGTGAAGTGAAGCGCTTCGTTGATCTCACTGCTGATGAGACAAGTGATTTATGGCTTACTGCACAAGAGGTTGGAAGCCAACTTGAGTCCTACCACAAGGCATCCTCCCTCACATTTGCAATTCAAGTAAGGAAGCTTTACAATCATATGTCTGTTGCATCGCTGCTAGTTGTCGGATGTTTTTTGCATAAATTTAGCGGTTCAGCTTGTAAGATTTTACCCAAAATACAGAGCAATTTCAGAAGTATTTGCCCTTGAAACAGTTTTTATCCACACTAATCATAGTGACTTCTTTGCAAGAGCTATTTTATCTTTCCATCCTTTCCCTCTTTTATTTGCTTACATAGCTGTTCCCTGGACAGTATCTTACACACTGTGCAGGCTTCCAGAATCACGTGTGCAATGCAGCTTTCTTTATACTTGGCCTCTTTAAACATTTGCTCTGATCTAGATAAACAGCCATGGAGTGATAGTAAGCTGAGCTAACATATATCCCAATTGTTTCTTCAACTTCTTAATTTTTCAGCTCAATATGTTGAAGATAAGAAGGAAACTTTTGTTAGGTGAAAGATGATGTAGGTTTCCCTTAGTGTGACTCCAGCTGCTCTGCTATCTTAGTTGAATATGTTTCCTAGTCTTTTCTCCATTGTTTGAAAGTACTCAATTGCATTAAACCTGGCTTGGTACATCTGCAATCTTTTTGCTCTTTCCACTATGGTATTAAAAGTGCTAATACTTTCGTATGCTGCTCTAGGTTACTTTTGTTGTTAATCTTTTTCTGGCTTTTTTGATACCTTAGGATGGACCCCAAGCTGGACAGACAGTACCGCATGTTCACATTCACATCGTTCCGCGGAAAGGTGGTGACTTTGAGAAAAATGATGAGATTTATGATGCTGTAAGATCGAAAACTAGCCTCATCTTTTGTAGTCGCGAGTTTATGTCAACATTCAGCTGAAATGATCAAGTTGACGTCTAATTTCTATGCTATGCGATTTGTAGATAGACATGAAGGAGAAGGAACTGCAGCAGAAGCTTGATTTGGACAAGGAGAGAAAAGACAGAAGCATGGAGGAGATGGCTGAAGAGGCACAAGAATACAGAAAGCTTCTCTCCTAGAAACTTTTTACTGGCGCCCCGCGGATAATAGCTTGTGTAGAGCTCCGCCTGCGCAGCGACTTGTTTAACCAATGGATATGGGTGAAGTCTTTTCTATTATTCCAATTCTTGTCTAGTTGGTGTGTGTTGGATACAGCTCCAAACTTGGTACACCTGCTTCGGTAGAACTTGACCATTGCCGGCTTCTCAAGATTCTCACAAATAGATGTTCTTACAATTTTTCCATTACAACCGATGTTACATTGCCTTTAGACACCCAGAACAGGGTGGAAACAGATCTATTCTACCAAGAGTTGTAATCGGGGTTTACGTATCGACAGACTACTGGTCATTTCGGAGTCAGTCAATTCTCCAAGTAATTTCCGTCGTATTAAATCAGGGAACAAGGATATCGGGTTATCATCGATAATTTTTTCACTGCACTGGACTAAGTTGTTTGACTGCTCAGAGAATATATGCCCTCCAAATTTCCTGCGTTCGAGTAGAAGCTCATTCAAAGAATTCTTTTGTGTTTGTCTATGATATAGAAATCAGCAAGTAATCTGAGTTGATATCAAGACAAAGTAACCATCCAGAGTTTGACGTGTTGAATGTGAAGTTCGATCAAGCCTTGTTAAGGTAGATTCTCATATTCAATAGGTTTTTAAATGAAATAAGGATAATGCTGATTTAAAAGAGGGGAAATTATGGCGATAATGACGAAAATGATGGTCAATTTAAGCAAGGAGATTGTTTATTTTAACTTAAACGGCTCTTGACTTGGGCATTGTTTGTTTTTAGGAACTAGGAGGGAAAGGAAAGAAAAGGAAATGGTGGAATAAGAAAAGGTTTTTGATACTTGGATTGGTTTATAGGGAGGGAAGGAAAAGGAAAGGAGATGGAGAGATAAAATTTAATTATTCTTTTTTATCAATTTGCTTTCCGCACGGAGTAAAAGGAAATTGAGATTCATAAAAAATTTAAAATTTTCTAAAATACATATATTTTTTTCATAAATTAGACTTTTAAAATTATTGATAAAAAGCCATAACTTACTTTTCTTTTCTTTTCTTCCGTATTCCAAACAATTTTTCCTCAATATCCTCTTTTTTCCCTCTATATAAACCAATCCAAACATCAAAAATCTTTTAACTCTCCATTTCCTTTCCCTCCTATTTTCTTAAAACAAAAAGTGCCTTTGAAAAAATGTTCAAACAGGCAAGGAACAAAATGTGTGCTACTGTGTCAGTGTAAATGTTGGAGTGAATAAGCCACTTTTCCTTTCCCAAACAACCATCATGCATATTTTTAAGATTATTTATAAATCATTTTATAAAAAAAAAACTGGATTATCCACTTATTTACTGAAGTAGAAAAACATTTAGGAGCCAAAAAGAGTCTAAAATTTCCCTAATTGGTTTATGCGGTGTGGGTATCGAAATGGCGGGAAATTTTCTGGGAAGGTACGCTGAGCATTTAGGCGATAGTAGCAGGAGCCAGGCCAAATAGTAGTAGAAGTAACATCTCCTTCAACAGCGTCATCATTGTTCTACTGCGTTCTTCAGTTTCCCTCCCCTCTTCCTGCTAAAGGCTCGTAAAAAAGCTATGGAGTCTGTCCTTAAGGTGGCGTTTGTTGCTAAATCTATGCTTGGCAAATTGATTTGTTTATTACAATTTAACAAAGTTTCCCTCTTTGGGTGCAGAAATATTTTGGGTTTTCAACATTTCGGCCATATCAGAAAGAAATTGTGGACAAAATATTGGACGGGAGGGATTGCTTGGTGGTCATGGCCACTGGGAGCGGCAAGTCACTATGGTACACTTCAATCATTGCCCTATATTTTGGTTAACAAAAATTTTTCACTTTTGTAATTTTATTTCAATTCACTTTTTTTTTTAAAAATTTTTAGTTAGGAAATTCTATTTTTGTCTGATTATTTTTTTCAATTGTGTAATGAAGCTATCAAATGCCACCATTGATCACCAAAAAGACTGCTGTAGTAATTAGCCCTCTTATATCCTTAATGCAAGATCAGGTCTGTGGCGTTTCGCATATTGTGCTTTCTGCTTGAACGTTAGAAAAGGGATAAACTTGACTGAGACATGTTTGTTGTGGATTGGTTGAATGCATAGGTAATGACATTAAAGGAGAGGGGCATTAAAACTGAGCATCTTTCTAGTGCTCAGAGTGCTTCGAGAGTACAAAGCGCTGCTGAGAGTGGTCAATATGACATTCTCTATATGACTCCAGAAAAAGCTTGCTTGCTTCCTTCCAGGTACATAAAATTTGAGTAATATCCCAACAAGAATGTAGGTTCAGGTCTAAACAAAGTTCATTGGTTTAAGCACATCTCCAGTGATATTAATTCCCATTTTTTGTGGCTGCTTTGAAACAATTGTTATCTTTTCGTATGAGGTAAACATGCTTCTGTTCCAACAAACACCTCCTTACCTTCATTCACTGCCTGTTTCCATATTAATTGATGAGTATTTTTGTATTTTTTCTTGTTTTCCTTTTTCTGAGTTTGTAAGAAATATGTTCTTTAACTTTTACTTAAACCAAAAAAAGGTGGGGAAGGATTGTGAATAGACATGAAAAGGTAGATGAGCACACCCACATTCAGTTCATAGGTATCCTTTTAAAAAGAATAACCCACTTGAAACCAGAAAAAGGATGTCTTTTTCTTCTGCTTTGTTAAGTTTGTTCAGACATGCATGTGTGATGCTTCTTGTATAGTTATTTCGTACTGTCAAATGCAGTTGATTGTAATGATGATTTGTTAAGGCGCAATGTTTACCTGTTGACATTAATCAAGGTTTATTTTCTTGGTAAACTTTGAATCTTGAGGCAGAAAAATATGCTCAGACATTATTCATCGACTACCAGTTATGATTTCAGACGACTGGCAGATTATCCGAACTATCCAACCGGGGTTATTACCACAATATTTTGGTTTTAAATCGAAATTAAAAGATATATTGTCTTTTTTATTCTTTTCTGGAAGTCGATTTTTGAGGAACCAACTTTAGAGTCAATGTTGGGGTAATCTACTTCTGGTCAAACATAGCCTCACCTGAAATCAGAGAAGTTGATTTTCTTAATACAGACTTTGAAGTTGACTTGAAGTAAATCTGCTTGTCGGCTTCAAAGTCGAGTTTCATAGAATGGACTTCAGAGTTAAAAGAAAACATGATATAGTTTCCTGCTGCAATTTCTCTGCTGGGAGAAGTACACACGGTGATGCATTGTTTTGGTGCTTCCTGATCTTTCATGCTTGGTTTATAGGCTTGTTACAATCCAAAAACCTTTCTAAATCAATAACACGTTGGATTCCTATATGGTATATTTAACTTTGAAGTTTGAACCACTCTTCAATGACAAAGCCTTGATGTTTCTGGATTTAGCATAATCTCCGTTGTCAAATATTTCAGGTTCTTTTTTCGCTTTTTTAACCGAATTCATATCTCAATGACAATCCTTGTCTACAGCCAATATCAAAATGCTGCGTCAGGTCTGGTAAAAACTGCACCTGTTGATGCAAGCATACACAGTGGTTCAATTTTTATTGATCCATCTGTCTTTACAATGAATCTGCTGTTTTGATGAGTATTATAAGAGGCAATGGAAGGACTGAGAAAAAGAGACGGGTGAATATGGAGGAGGAGGGTGAGAATTTGGAAACAAAGAATGTAGACGTTTAGTCTAAGGGAATAAGTAAGCCGAAGCTGGTGTTTAAAAAATATGCTAAAGTTGACTTTATAGAAATTGATTTCCATACTTACGGAAAATGAGTACAAAGGACAATTTTTTTTGCAGTTTCGATTATAAATTGCAGTATTTTGGTAAATGGTCCTTTCCAACCTTTCCAATCATTTTAGTGCATTCGGATTTTGCTGCTGCTACTGTCCTGAGTTACATATGATGATGTTTCAGCTTCTGGTCGAGAATGCTGAAAACAGGGATATGTCTTCTGGCTGTTGATGAAGCACACTGCATTTCAGAGTGGGGCCATAATTTCCGGTAAACTTATTTCAGCTGCTACCCATACTTTAACCATTTTAAAAATTAATGGTAATCCCTTTCAACATCTGAAATTTTATGTTTGGTTATTCTTGCGAACTTGGCTACACAACGGGAAACGGGAGTTAGTGAGAGGGATCCAAACTGCTGTTTCAACTAAATACAAAATTTAAGCATATTGTGATGTATAGATTTGGGTAGACTGATACAACACTAATATCTTTTGAGATGAGGGTGAAGCATTTGCCTTCGTCTGTATAAAGATAATATATATGTTTTGAGGCAGTTTTTGAATAAAATATTCTGTCTAACCAATTCTTACACTGGTCGGTATCTTATTACCATCAGTTTTTTGTTTGTGCTCCTTCCCAGGTTTCTGAAAAATCTATGATGGCTTAAATCCAAATTCTCTCTCTTTTCCACTTAAAGCTTTTCTTTTGTTGTCATTTGATTATTATGGTGTCTTCTCTTCTGTCTGTGAAGAAAACAAGTTTACTTTGTCTATTTATTAACTTTCTCGATATATAACTGGAAAGGATAAGACATTGATACTCGGCGAGATCTACCTTGTCAAAACTTAAGTCAAAGTTTCATTTATCAGGCCTGCACCATGACATAGGCAAATTGCATGTGTGCCATGCAAGATTGCATTTATTACTTTCAGATGCTGAATAATATAAGACCCTTCTGTTCACTTGTTTCTTGGATGTGAGTGTTTATCTCTAACTATTGTACTTGTTAAATTGAGTATTTCTACTGAATTGAGAGAAAGGTTACTAGTCCTTGTATCATTGAGACCTGTTACTGAATTTCATGTGTCGAGTAGTTCCACCCTTTTCTTGTCTATCAAGTTTTCCATCTCATTGTCAAACTTTATCTTCCATTCCTTCTCTCATTATAGATTGTACAATGTTATCTTTCTGCAGGATTGAGTACAAAAAGTTGGATAAGTTGCGTGATATGCTATTAGATGTTCCCTTTGTTGGCTTAACTGCAACTGCTACAGAGAAGTAAGTGTATTGCTATTTAAGATCTTTATTTTTTTTCTTCTTCTGAAATTAGCTTTATGATTACTGGCTGATAGCTGTTGTTATCTGCTACTTTGTGAAGCTTTGATGAACTCACTTTGTCATGTGATCCAGAGTCCGTCTTGATATCATCAGCTCCTTGAAGATGAGGGATCCTCATGTTACTGTTGGCTCTTTTGATCGTAAAAATCTCTTTTATGGCGTTAAATCTTTCAACCATGGTTCACCTTTTGTTGATGAGCTTGTGGAAGAAATATCTAAATATGTAGAGAGTGCATGCTCAACAATTGTGTACTGTACAACTGTCAAAGATGCTGAACATGTAATTTCTCCAGCACATTACATCTGTTAGGGTAGACCACTGCAATTGCCTTGTTTATCTGATCTGAAGCATCATATTTTTTGTTACATCTTGTTTATTGCTTATAACTGAAATTTGTTGATTGTCTGAACAGTAGTGTTGTTTTCCCCCCTCATTCCTTAGATCTTTAAGTCACTTCTCAAGGTTGGAATTAAAGCTGGGGTCTACCACGGTCAAATGCCTAATTGTGCACGCGAGGAGTCTCACAGGTCTATTATTTTTCTTATTAACTATTTCGAAATTTACAGGGTTAGCTGAACATTATATGCTCCTAAGTTGTCTGGCTGTTAAGTTTTCTAATTGTGTGCCACTAACTAACAAGTTATTAAGTATCTAGCTGGCATTACTTTTGGTATTTTCTCCTAATGTTCGCTATTCATCTAATGCTTGAACTCCTCCAAGCACCTGATTGAGTGAGAAACTCTGGAAGCTCACTGATTTCCAACTTCTTCAGGTCATTTATCAGGGATGAATACTATGTCATGGTTGCTACTATTGCTTTTGGCATGGGTATAGATAAGCCAGATATCAGGTATGTGATACATTATGGATGCCCAAAAAGTTTGGAATCTTATTATCAGGAGAGTGGTCGATGTGGTCGAGATGGTGTTGCTTCGGTCTGCTGGCTTTATTACACAAGAAGTGACTTCATAAAAGCTGATTTTTATTGTAGAGAAGCAAACTCGGTAATTTTTTTGTTTTTTTATTCATTATTATTATGATTCCAAAGGCACTCAAATTTTCACTTGATTTCTTTATTTGATGCTTGAGCAGGCAGATCAAAGAAAAGCTATAATGGACTCTTTTGTAGCCGCACAACATTATTGCTTCTTGACAACTTGTAGAAGAAAATTTCTATTGGACTACTTTGGGCAAATTTGCACTTTTGACAAATGTGGTTTGTGTATTACTTGAAACTTTTCTTTCCTATTTCTTGCATTCTATACATCATGTGAATTGGTTTGTATTTTTCCTCATATGTAAGATTTTGTTCTTGGCACAATTAATGTCCAAAGCATAAGAAAATTCAATCATGCTTCATAATAGTTAGTTCTTTCACTTTCTGATCTGACTAAGGCCTTTAAAGCAAGAAAGAAAATCTTCAGTCTCAAGTAACTGGAGGGAAATTCTTTATATTTTTCCCTAGAGGGACTGGGATTGCAGGGAGCAAATAAGAGGGGCTTCTTTGTGATTTGTTTTGTCTTTCAATCATATCCTTCAAAAGAGTCTAAAAAGAGTATATGTTCTTCTTAGGATTGAGAACGATATAGTTGTATGCTTATTAGACAAAACAAGGATAAGGAATTATTTAAGACCGTATAAGTATTTTGTGGATAAAAAGCTACTCCCAAGTTCTACATGGGAAAATATTTCTAAAAGTTGCTACTGGTGAAGTACCCTTCAGAAACTCTAGGTTGAATCACAAATTTAGCGGGAAATATCTTTGTGTAGTTACATAGTTGTTACTTGCAGGAAATTGTGATAATTGCACCAGCTCCAGGAAGGAGACTGACATGTCTAGAGAAGCATTTCTTCTGATGGCCTGCATTCGTTCCTGTGGGGGTCAGTGGGGACTCAATATGCCAGTTGACGTTCTTCGTGGTTCACAGGTAAGTTGTGCATTAGTCATCTTCTTGGTAATTGTCCACTTGGCAGTTGAAGTTTTTAAACGTCCCTTTTGCTTGTGAAAATCCAGTCACTTCTTGATGCTGAGAAGAATTATTCATGAAACTAGTCTCCTACAGTACTTGGCATACTGAAATTTGTTGGGTGAATGCATCTCACGATCTTCCGAATCGGCTTTTTCTTTTCTTTTGGTCAATTAACTTCTATTATGTTACTTTTAACCTGGTTCTGTTTTTGACAATTGCTCGATGCTCAAAGAATCCTGTTCCTCATACTTCTAATTTGTGGTCACAGTCCAAGAAAATCCTTGATGCTCAATTTGATAAGCTTCCATTTCATGGCCTTGGGAAAGAGATGACAGTGAACTGGTGGAAGTTTCTAGCGAATCAGTTGATTGTAAAAGGTATGTATAAGCAACTACACCACACCAGTTATCATTAGTACTCATTAGGCCGTTGAGACAAATATATGTGTGTGTGTGTGTGTACATATATATATATATATATAAGTTGCATGGATGCACCAAAAACCCAAGCACTTTTTGAGGTATGTGGGGTTCAGTTTATTTTGGCTATTTTTATTAGTTTTCATGTGCTGGATGAAGTGCGAATTTGATGATGACTTCTGCGAGATAAATATAGCATTTTGTTATCAACCAAGGTCACAGCACACGAAGACTTGTCTGATCTACCAAAGTTAAGTTGAAGGGGAAAATATTTCTCCCATGAAAGGTTGACTCATGATGGATACGATATAAGCTCAATTTAATTTCATAGGAAAGTGCTGAAGCACCTAATATTGTAACATTGAAATGGAATTATGGTAGTGATTGGATTCACTGTCGATTATAACTCAGCTCGAACTAGACCAAGGTGTTTCTTTCTGGACAACCATTAACCTTTTAATGGAATATGGCATTTTAAGGTCACTTTTTAGGATCATGAGACTTTTTGTAGCATTCTAACCATCAGTAGGTCCTGTTTTTTTTTTACATTCTAGAGTTGGTACTTACTCAATGTCTAACGTGAGAGCTTTTCATCAGACACTAACTATTCACTTACCTGGTCAGCATATGGTCAAAGAAATAATTAAGGAAGAAAAGGCAATTGGAGCGACAATGCAAGAAGTGTAGAGGGAATAAGGAAATAAAATAAACAGAAAAAGATAAATCTTTGGCATATAATGTTTTTACTTTTGACAATTTCATGTCACCATGCATCAACAGTGTGTCATTTTAATTTGTGTCCTGAACTATCCATTTGCAGTTCCTGACTGACTACATTTTCCTATTTGGTATAGGTTATTTGGTTGAGAAGTATGCGGATGTGTACAGAAGTATAAGGTTAATTTCTTCTCCTCTATTACTCTTAAGTTCACGCATGAATTTTAGACAATTTTGTATCCTCTTTATCCTTTTGCAGCTTTGGTCTTACAAAGTTTTACATCTGCTGTCAAACTTGGCATATAGTGGTTTGCATTCAACAAGTTATCTTCCTAATACATGTTTCTCATTTTTCTCTTTTGTTCCATGCACCAGTGTGGGTCCCAAAGGGCTTCAGTTTCTGAGCTCATGCAGACCAGATTATCAACCACCATTATATGTGGCAGTCACTTCTGAAATGATCGGTGATGTGGAAAACAAATTTCCAACGGATGAAGCTAGAGACTTTGGTGGTCTGATATCGGCAGGATTTGAAGGAATGTCTCAGGTTGGTAAAGTTAGTATAGTGGATTGACTAAAATCATTCCATCTGACAGTTCCCTTTCCTGCATGATATGCCATTTGTATCAATTGACTCTAACTGAATAGATGCTGCATTTAGAACTCAACTAACTGAACTGGTTTTAAATTTCTATTGGGGAATGTGGTCTTGGTACCATAAATAAGATATGTCAGCTTATATTATTGTCCTTGGTGGCTACTTGCAGCAACGATTCTACTTAACATGCTTTAAGTATTTTTAATTTTAGGCTGAAGCACAACTTTATAAACTGCTTTTGGAAGAGAGACTGAAACTTGCAAGAGTCAGTGGAACTGCTCCGTAAGTCCTTGTTCTAGATAGTATTCCTATAGCCATTCTGATATGTTGTAATTACCATTTTTGTGATAGTATGTTCCTTTAGAAAGAATCTCCAACTAAAGAACTCATTTGAGATACTTCTGTCTCCTATTTTGTTTGGAGGTTGCAGATATGCAATTTGTGGTGATGAAACACTAAGGAGGATAGCATTGACAAGGCCATCAACCAGAGCAAGACTAGCTAATATAGATGGAGTAAACCAGGTAGTCAGAGCATATGGTTCACAGCATGCTATCTCCATTCTGTTGTATCCGTCTAACCATTTAGAATCCTATGCTCTAATGCACTCATTCACAGGAATTTAGTTCTCTTATTTATAGATCTTATTTCTTTCCCCCAAAAAAAAAATAGATCTTGTTTTACTCGAACTGAGGGTTCTGTGTCTGACCAACTTAGCAGGGACTACATTTCACTTCTACAAACATCTGAACCTTGTGGAGTAATCTTTAGCTACTTTCTGCTAGGTTAAATTGTTAATTCAGTTTTTGGATGTTATTCATTTCCTGGTGCTATAGCTTTCCTTTTATGTTAGAAGGAAGTGACACTAATTGAGCCACGTATGTGTTATCTGTCTATATTTGTTATTCCACCCAATATCCAGCTGGTTGCTGCTTCTGTGAATGTGTCAGGTTCTAGCTGGGAGGATTGCTCCCTCCATTCTAAGATCGTCCGGCATATACTTTGGGTTTCATTTCCAACCAAATGTACTTGGTTTTAATGTTTGCTAGTTTGCTACCTCTCCCTGGTTTGCAACATCCACCGTTGCTTGTCTTTAATCCACAATACTTGGTAGAATAGAAACAATGACGTTTAGCATAAGCTTGTCATTACTGGAGATTGCTTATATTTCAACGTGTAGAACTGTCTTGGGTTGCACGAATATTTGTGTTTGTGACCTCTATCTAACTTTGAAGCTGCAATGATAATGCAGCACTTAATGAAAGTTCATGGTGATCATTTTCTTCAAAGGATCCAACAGCTCTCTCAAGAACTTAACATTACCTTGGATGGGCTTCCAAACTCTCAACCTCCCGCTCCAAAGGAGGTTCTTAAAGTACCAAAAGCGGCAAACCTGGCACCAGCGAAGTCTGAAGCCTGGAGAAAGTGGCAAGAAGATGGCCTTACAATCCAGAAAATTGCAGTAAGTTCTAAATTGTTTTCTTGAATCCCCTTTCTTCGTTCCCAAGCCTCCCTTAACTATATGCATTTTCATGCTTCGTAGAATTTCCCAGGAAGATCGGCTCCAATTAAGGAGCAGACTGTTGCTGAGTATATTCTTGAAGCTGCAAGAGAGGGATGTGTAATTGACTGGCTTAGATTCTCTCGAGAGATTGGGTTGACACAAGAGGTGTACAAGAGCATTCAGCAAGCTGTCCTAAAAGTTGGAAAAGAGAAGTTAAAGCCCATAAAAAATGAATTAGCAGAAGAGGTGATTATTGGATGAGCATCATTAACTTTGAAGACATGATAAAATTTGGAGCCTATGGCTCAGTCAATGAACTGCCTCAAATTCAACACTTCTGTTCACCATTATGATTATGCTGAACTAACAAACATTTTTACAGGTAACTTATTCCCAAATCAAGACATGCTTGACAATGCAAGAATTAGGACTTGGCATGAGCGAAATTGAATCCATTAATCAGCATGACTGCAAGGAGGATGAACATTTGAATGGGAAACCATTATTGTCAGAAAGAACTAACCTCTCGCATCAAAAGGAAGAACAATTTGAGAATTTTCAATTTGTTAATGGAGTCCGTGACTCGGCTGGGTTAAGGAATGAAGATGCAATTTCTGACAGCTCTATACAGAGCAGAAGCATGGAAGAATCTGTAGATTCTTCAAATGATCCACCTCTTACAAGGAAACGCCAAAAGATTGATGCCTTGGACGTACCGGCTGAAGTTATGGTAGAAGCAACCGAGACTTCAATTATACGCTGGCTTGGGAAGTTTGATCATGGGGTACGTTGTAAATCTGTTAAGGTGTAATATCCCTTTATCTTGTTCATTACTAAGAAAATAATTTTTAAAGAATATTAGTCTCGGAATATGCAGGTACCACTTTCTGATATCTTGGGGCACTTCAATGGATCAACGGAGTCATCTGTGATTGATCTGCTAAACAGCCTAGAAGGTGAATTTTTGATATTTAAAAAGAATGATCTGTATATGCTCATGTAGATTGTAGAGTAACACATATTTATAGTTGGTGACATATTGGATAGCAAATCTCTGCGTCTTCATCTTTCCCATCATTCATATATCCAAAGTTCTTGGGGAAATAGGGAGGTAAGGATGCAAGATACAAAAACTGTACATCTTTTTTGGCGGAGTGATACAATTTATGTAACGATGAATACGACATGTGCAATTTCGTATATGTGCATGTTGCTTTGGGGCGTTTCGCTTGTTAGTGAGGATTCGTCTTGAAGAATGAAATTATTTCGAGGCAGAAGTTGACCATTCATGTGGCCCAAGGATGTACTTCCGACCAAAGGGAGTCAGTGCCCGATGGTTTACTTACCAAAGAATCATCCGTTTCTGCGATTGCTAGCTTAGTGTAACTATACCACCGCAAGAATTTGAAAGAGAACGAGTCCAACGTTACCTGAAAAACTCAAAATGTACTGAACTTTATTCTGTTTATCCTGTCCTGTAAGAACTGCCATGAATGCTCTCTCGCCAACAGTTATAGCGCTACACTTTCAAGGACTGTTTTAATGTCAATTAGTTGCACCTGACAGCCAACAGCCCAAGGCTGTTGGTATCCCCAAGACTTATCAGCCTTGGGAAGGTGGAAGGTCAAGGTTGACCTCCCACCAAACTTGCCATTAATTGTGGATGATTGTGGTTGTCATCTTCGGGTGGCTTCCTTGGACAGTGTCACCTGACATGAGAAGGCCTTGGATTTGAGTTGGATTAAAAAAAAATTAATAACCAATGTGGATTGGAGCTTAAACTCCTGGTCCATCTTCTTCGATGCCCTGCCAGTATTAGCACATTCTCAAACTTACCAAGTACAGCAGTGACATGGAGAACAAGATCGTAAATAGTTTCCACTTCCCCCAGCTGAAGAGCCAATTTAATATCGACTAAGTACTTCGACGGAATGCTGCAATGGCTTCAAGTGATGAGACTCCTGCAAAGCCAGTGGAAACTGTCCGAATAATTTGCGTGGATACGAATCTTGATATGGGAAAATGTGGGAGAGAATCGTAGATGCTATTTCTTGGATCCACTCGTACTTTACCCTAGTTTTATGTTGTGAATCATTCTGTATCACATTGGTGGACTGATCCTCAAGCTGAAATCAGTTAGGCCACCGTGATGTCCAAGATTGTCAATCATGACACTAGAAGGGAGATTGGTAGCATTTACGCATCATTTCAAGCTCTGAAGCACCAGTTCTCAAATGTGAATTGATTTTTCGTCAGCTCCCAGTTGAACTGAGTTAAGAATGCAAAGACAGGTCCTTATAACCTGATCACAACGATTGCACCAATCCCATCGGACACGCACAAAGAATGCGCAGTAAAAAGAGACTTGGAAGAGAGGATCATTGCAAATTTCTTTCCATTTTTTGGTATTCAAAACCGTATTAGGTCCAATATATATCCCCATCCATTTTTCAAGAAATGGATAGCCATTTGGTCTGCATAAGTGGCTGTAACGTTGACGTAAAACAATCAATGACCTAGTGCAAAAAAAAAAAAAAAACCTGGGCTGAAGCTGCCAGACCTTATGAGCAACACATGCAAACTAAACATCTGAGCTTTTTGCATCTGAAAACTAGTTTTAGAACCAAAAGCAACAGGGTATCATTCTGTTAGTCAAATGCATTAAGGTCAAGGCCCTTACCTGTTCATACTTTCACGAGTCCGGCCAGTACAGAAGTACATGTCAAGGCTGAATCACAACAGCTAATTCCATAGTAGCATCAATTTTCCAACATAATCAGCATTTCAATATACGGAGAAGAATTAGAAGAGCAAGGAAATCAAAGATTCCGTGTTAACTTGCTGGTCTATATGCAAAGAAGAATTTCAGTAACTTGTATTAAAGAATTTTTAGTAAATATATCTTCTAAGTATAAAAATTGGCCAAGGAAGCCAGTCAGTACGAGTGTACCACCTCAAAAGAAACAAGAGGGGTTGTTCCTTGGTTCAGAAAGACAAACATCTGTAAGTAAATGCCTCAACAGTAAAAACGGAGTCAGAGGGAAACAAGTTGACATTAGTGAGTTAATGGCCATGCAGAAGATCATCATCATGCTCTGTATGCAAGGCCATACGATGTCTGGCAGCAGTAGGGACATCCAATGGAGATTTGCATTTCTTCTGCAACTCCTTGAACTTCTCAATATCAAAACCATATTTTCTGAAGAGTTTCCTCCGCCTTGAGAGAAAAAGTCTTTGCATAAAATCTTGGTAAGTTGGGTCTCTTGAAGTGAAAAGGAAGTAAGCATAACCAATGACAATCCCTGTCGTAGTAGTGAAAAATGCAATTGGCTCCATGACATCCCATGAGAATTCCCAGAAGGTTAGGCGAAAGAAAAAACCGACTTGTATCACAGCAAGCCCCAACCCAGTCCACAAAATGCAGCGGACTTGCCTATGTGCAAGCCTATCAATTTCCTCCTTCTTCTCCTGCATCTTGTTCATCTCATCCTTGCAGGGGTCATCTTCAGGCAAGAGTGCGAGTGGCACTGCTTTTCTGACCAAATCGACCACCTGAACACAAAAGAACAAACACCAATGGATGCGATACCTAAGTATCAATTATGAAAGAGTTCACGTGCAGCAGTGAAATAGACCAAGTCGGAACACAAGTATAAACAGTTATTCAAACAGACTTCCAACGTATGAAGCTGCTATAGCATTCAAGGTCAATGTATCCTCTCTGGCACAACAAAAGCAACAGACCTATCAATGAAAAACATAACTCGTTCTCGGATGAGTTCTATGGTGGTATCCTGTCTCTGCTTCTTCTCTTCAACTAAAGTTGCTCCTGATCAGGAGAGCAGATTGTCTAAACTAAAATTTCTGGCGAGTAAAGATAGGTATAGCCCTTTTTTTGTTTTGGGGATAACAAATGTTGAATCCGGATCTCTGTTTTTTTTCCCCCCTTTCCCCTTGAACTACATCTTCCAAAAATCAAGGAACGAAACAATTTTCCTTGCACTGGGAAGCTCACAAACAGGGGGAAAAAAAAAGGGAGAACTGAGTAATTATTATGCCGTGACTACTACATCTAAGGAGAAAGGTACCTTTGAATTGAGTTTGAGCCCCACCAAATTGGCACAAACACAATTTCAAATCAAATCCATAATCTCCAAAAACCCCTTCTTTGTCTTAAAAAAAAAAAAAAACTCATACCCAAAACAATGTAGGACAATTTTTATAGTAATTAAAATGGGTGAAATGAAAAACACAAGAGAGACAGAGAGGGAGGGGTCCGGGTGGTTTTTTGAAGGGAAGGGAAGGGAAATTAGTACCTTGTCGGGATGGAGGTAGACTTTATTTCGGAAGAGCAAAACGACGCCGGCCTCATCAAGAACATCGACAAAAGCGACGGCCTCATGGGGGGATTTGGCGACCCCCATAGTCTGGCAAGCCTGAAGAAGGTCCTTGTAATCAATAAACTCCTTGTTCTCCATCCCAAGCTGCATCTTCAAGGCCTCCACATTCACCAGCCTCATCAGCCTCTTCGCCTCCGCACACGATATCTTCTCTCCTCCATTGACGTTATTATCCTTCTTCCCATTCTCATCATCATCATCCCCATCCCTTCCTCCGCCGGCGCCGCTACCACCGACCACTGGAGGAAAAGTAGAAGCAGAGTAAAACGAAGAGCCAATCACTCTAGACCCACGACAAAAACAGCCATCCAAACGCGGCCTTAAGCAGCTCCGACCACCCCGTAACACTGATTGTACCCCTCCTCCTCCTCCCGGTCGCGTAGCCGCCGCCGCTATGCCCTGTTTCAACAAGTTATAAGAAGTCCACCTCCACATTCGTGTGTATTGCTTTACAACTACTTTAATCTTTATATTTCCTTTTTGACGTATCAGTTAATCAATAGGTATAGCGTGTCGGGTGTTAATACTGCTATGATGAATGATGGCGATGGAGGTATGGAAACATGGCCGATAATGAAGAAGAAGATGTGAAGAAGACAAAGTGATGGATCGCGGGGGTGGGGGTGGAAAGAGGAGTTAGTGGCAGTAACGGGCAGTGGTGGGAATGGATCTCAAGGACCCATCCATGATTAAAATTTCGAGAATGACGGAGGACGGTTATTATTATTATTATTATTTTTTTTTTTTTAAGAAAAAGACCGTTTAAACGGTAACTGGGGGTGTCTCGCGTTAGTGACCAAGTATTACTACTGCTACTAATAATTAATAACTGTGCAGAACTGTTAAGATCCAAAACTGAGAAAAAATGAAAGGAAAGAAATACAACAGAGACCTGAGCGGAGTGAGTAAGATTTAAGTCAGAAGAGAGCGAGTCGAGTTGCGAGTAGTTTGGGCTGTGGACAAGGGATGGAGCAATGGATGGATGGATGGATGAATGGCTCTCACAACCGCCGAAAAAAAGTGATCGGTGTAAATTTAAAAATGTATTTGTGATGCAAGTAAAATATTATTATTTAGAAAAATTTGCTATCTTATAACATCTTTTTCTCTACATTTACATTCCTTTTAGTTTCTTCCCAAAACTCAAAACTCACCCACAAATTGCAAGTAACGATCAGGGCGTGATAAAATATCTAATATAATATATCCTACCTTCACTTCTATGATCTTTCCACATCTTTGTTGAGGATGACTATCTACTTTTCTTTCTTCTTTTTTTCTTTTCCTTTTTTTTTTTTTTTTTGGTTACAGGAATTTGTTGTGGAATTCAAGAGCCCAAATCATGACGCACTTGCGAGGAAAAAAAACAAGAAAAGGAATTGCATGTAAAAAAAAAAAAAAAAAAATTACACACAGGCCGGCATGACAGGGCAATATTCTCCTATTATTCATTATTATGATGATGTGGTGTAAACCTGAACATACGCCGGTCAAAGCAGCGAGAGACTAAACGCATCATCGACAAGGGTTGTTTTTGGGGGGGTATCCTTTTTCTACCCACTGACTGTGTTCTGAATTGGCCCAAGTTTGAAGTTCAAGAAAGGCAGGTGAGGTCGCAGACTTGAAATTAATTTTTCTCAGCTGTCCACTTCCACCTTCTTAATCCATCCACAGGGTGGCGCCTCTGATAATAGTAGCCGGCTTATTTGGAGTTTGGGCAGAAGGAAGGGGCGGCGAGGACACTGCGAACCATTTTATTAAGGAAAATCCAAAAAGGGGTTCGATGGAAGAAAGAAATTTCTGTCAGGGCAGGATGTTAACACGCAGTCACAACTGTTTTTGTCTTTCAAGTCTGTTTGGATTCCATAATTGAATTAGTCGTCAG